TCCTCAAGTGGCAAAACAATTACTCCAAGTTGTAATCTTAAAGTCCGGTCTCGACAGGATAGACTAAGTTTTCGAGTTACTTCCGTATCAGTTGGACCAGTTTAGAAGCTGATTAAGTGACGAAAATGGGTTTCTTGTCAATTAAGATCGCCATTTTGAAGGCCGGATAGATAAACATAAGCAATACACATAGCTTGGAAAGATATCTTTGAGTAACAGGAAGAAAGCTGCGAAAAGCATCTAAATGGAAAGAAAATACTGCGCGAAAAGTGCACAAATTAACACACATAAAATATACAGATTAGAATTTCTGGTCAGTTTATACAATTTAGAACTCCATTATCACCATATATTAAACAAAACTAAATTCTGCTCTGCTGGCTATAAATCTCTTGTCTTGTCGATTTCGTAGTCAACACTGGTGTTTCATTGTATGTCTCAAGTTGAGGCTCTAAATTACTTGTCCGGAAAGTTCGGCTCTTATCTTGCTTTCCCGTAAATGGATAGTTCTGAAAGTGGAAGTACACTTCGTTGATGAAGTGATGAAAATGAGGTAAAACTTTCCTCACCTCTCTCTTCTGTAGCAAGAAGTCGGCTATGAATAAAAATATCATGAGAAACTCGAAAACCTGAAGAAATTACAGGAAATTTTTGAAGCTTATTATTGGTTTAGTCTTTACCGCTGCAGCAATCCATTGCCCACGAATGTGAAGATGTCCTCGACCTTGGTAGTTGACCTTAATTCAGATTTGTTGTTTTTTTACGATTTGTTATTCTCTAGCTTTATCTTCAGTAGACAAACATCAAGGCAAACTAAAAGTAAGATGATACGTAAATTTACGGACTAGCAGAGAAGGGGGACTATCATTAGCAAGCGAAGTAGGAGGCGTAGGAGCAAGGGTGGGATTAGTCAAAGTAAACTTAGCCTACACTGAGAAAGGGTAGCAATTATCTATTTGATTCTATGCTTGCTGTCCTTTGAGCAATGAATGTTGGTAATCTTCGATCCAAAGCAGAGCTCATGTACTCATTTTCTTTTCATACTTAGCTCCGTACGAATCTCTGAGTACTTACGGCACGATTTCGACTAGCAAAACTCAATTTATTGGTGCTAAGGGCATTTCCAATATGATTTATTTTTTCTCAGAAACATATCAATGAATGTATATATTTTGATAATGTATATATTTTTGGTTATCAGTGTCTTGCTTTGATTATATTCTGACGTTATAATATAATAAAGAATAGAATTGCGCGGCCTTCACTGTTTTTATGCTCATTTATCGCTACCAAAAAGTAGTGTGTTATTTTTAGAATGAAAAATCAACCGATAAATTTTTGAATAGTCCTATAAATTTATGCGTTAAGATGACCAAATAACAGTTACTTACTTCAGGATCCTTTGTAAGTACAGCCATCCATATTCCCAACGCTGTGGCTATGATAAATAAGACAATTCCAATCATTGCGTAGACTCGCTCCTGTAGGGTCGGATTACAGTAAACTTACAGTATCCCTCCATCGACTTTCCATTCGCAAACTACGGAAACATACTATTAAAAGAATAATTGAAGCATATTTCGTTCGGTGGATATTGAGCCCATAAGCGACCAGTATAATGACAACAATTATGGACATCAACAACAATATGAGCAGGACGAAGAGCTAAACTTGTTCAAAGAATTTTTTCTACGCTTTTTTTCTCAGTTATTTTCAAATTTTACCTGACCCATGGCTGTGTATCCGAACACATTCATGATCATTGTACAAGCATCGTCTCCACATGTGATTTGTACTAGCCATTG